TTTAATTTTATTACTATTTTAATTTTATTACTATTTTAATTTTATTACTATTTTAATTTTATTACTATTTTAATTTTATTACTATTTTAATTTTATTATGATTGTTGTTATTATTATTATTGTTATTGTTATTATTATTTTATTATTATTCTATTAATTGGCAGACCTTCTTATTGTAGTCCCACCTAACTGAAGTCATTTTAAATTCATTCCTGAAGTGATTTATTCTATTTTTCTGTGCATCATTCCCATTTTTTTTAACTTGGACAAGTCAGATATTTCAGCAGGTGGTATTTTAATAATTTCAATAATATTAGGGAATATAACTTGGAATATAATATATTAATATAATTTCCTATTTCAGGGAATAGAACTGGGAATATAATAAATATATTTATATAATTTATCATTTGAAATCCAGGCTGGATTTTTCCTTTTGGGAAGCAGCCCAAGGTGAGGGATTATGGGAACAGCACAAAGAAAAATGGGAAAAAAATGAGAATTATTAGATTTTAGAATTCCCAGGCACAGGCTTCTTAACTCCCTGCATTACCAGCTTTCTGGGTGTCTCCAGGAGGGCAGAAATTCCCAAAATTCCCGCTGCTTTTGGCCCTCCCAGGCAGGAATTTCAGCTCCCGAAGCTCCTCCCGTGCTGGGCCAGCGGAGGGAGCTGTGGCTGCAGGAATGGCTGCACTTCCAAGCGTTCCCAATCCTTTGCCAGCGGGAGGTTTGGGAGTGAGGAACCACAGGTTGGATCCAACGTTTTCCCTCTTTTCCTGCCTTTTCCTGCTCACAGTTCCTGGGATTTCTGGCTCCTGATTTCTTTGGAGCGAGTCCTCCGTGCTCAGCAAATCACTTTATCCCCTTTATCCATTCGAACTCTGCATTTCCAATGTTCCTGTATTCCCATAATTCTGTGGAATGCTGGGACTAAATCCCAACTATTCCTATATTTCCATAATACTGTGGAATGCTGGGACTAAATCCCAGTGGGAATTAGAGGGTGGAACCACAACCCTGAGCTGGGTGGGGTCGGTCCCGCTCTCCAGGACTCTCCGTGCCGGTGGCCACGGCCGCGGTTTTGTTGGATCAGGATCTCCAGGGCTTGGATTTGATGTTCCATAGGGATTTCTGGATCTCCTCCGAGCTGGAGTAGCTCCTCCAGCCTGGGAATACTCCGAGTTTGCACCTGCTTGGAAAATAGAAAGCCCCTCCCATAAAACCGCTCCGTGCCTTAATTCCAATCCAGTGATTCCTCTTAATTCCAATCCACTGATTCCTCTTCCAGTTAAAACCTGGAGAACTTCATTTAATCCTTTTATTCTAAGCTGGGCTGAAATTAATTTTCCCTCCAAAGTGGGCAAAGCCAATTAACGGGAGTTAATTGGAGGGAAGCGGCCTGACCTCGTGGCCGTGCTTCCAACATCCCACAGCCTCCTAAACCTGAGAAACTTGGGAATATTTCACCTCCATCTCCAGCATTTTGTCCTGTCTTTGTGCTGTCTGCCCTGAGCAGTCCTGGGGGTTTATTTCCGTATTTGGGAATATTCAGGATGATATTTGGGAAGCGCGCACACGCCCTCCACCCGAAATGGGGATTTTTCCACCTCAAATCCCGAAGGTTTTCATCCTTTTTTTTTGTTTGTTTGTTTTCCAGCCAGGCCTCTTGGAGGTTATTAATTTTGTCCCACTGATAGGGTGATCAACCGTCCTGTCGGGAAAATGGATCTGCCTGTCAGCCCCGGCCGTGATTAAAGGGAGCGGCGGCGCGGGGACAAAATACCAAATTCTTCCATTCTTCCAGGCATTATTCCGGTGGAAAAAATCTCCCAAAGGCCCCTGGCAGCTTAGCTGGGGGGAAACCATTCCCATCAATTGGAATTAAAACCAAGAAAATCAAAAATATCAGGGAGGATTTTTTTTTCCCCCTTTATTAAGTGGTTTTACTCCCATCCGGTCGGTTGGGTTTTAATTTCTGGGATTTGTGGATTCCCAGGAGTTGGGCTTTGTCCAAATCCTGTCGGTGCAGATTCTGTGGCCTGGAGAGGTCGTGGATTCCCCATCCCTGGAAGCATCCAGGGCCGGGTTGGACGAGCCTTGGAGCAACCTGGGCTAGTGGGAAGTGTCCCTGCCTGCCATCCCTTCCCACCCAAACCACGCCATGATTCCGGGAGGACGCTCCCAAATCCCTGCTCCGGGTTCTCCGAAGGGTTAACTCCATCTCAACCAAGCCATGGCAGGGGTTTAATTTCCTACTGGAAGCAGCACATGTGTTGGCTTTTCCTTTCATTCCCATCGATCCGCATCCCACCGACCCTGCTCCCGCAGCTGCTGCGCTCCCGCCGCCGCCGCTCCGCGTTAGGGCACGGATCCGTGGATCCAGGGATCCGCAGCCGGGGCTGCACGGGCTTGGATCCCATTCTGGATCTGGGCACTCCCATCCCAGGGAATGGGGCCCTCTCTGTCCAGGTGGAACAGCCCAATGTCGACGAGAACCCGGGATAAACCTCCGGTGGACAATTCCAACCCTTCCCTGCCCTGCTTTGTTCCAGCCCCTTTTCATCCTTCTTCTTCTTCTTCTCCTTCTTCCGAAGGCGGTTGCTATTGATTTTTTCCTTTCCTTTTTTTTTCCCCCCTCTCCCTTCCCATTGTTGAGCTTTGCCTTGGTTTTTTTTCCTCTCCCTTTTGGCTGAGCACAGCTCCCAAAATTCGGTTCAGTTCCTTGATTTCTTGTGGATATCATTAACCCTCATTAATTCCCCCTTCATTAGTCCCCGAGCCCGATGAGCCTCATCCCAGGCCAGGTGGTGCCTCCCAACTCCTCAGCACCCAGGAAGGATTCAAACTTCCTTATTTTTTTACAGTACAGGGTAGGGAATTTCTTAGGATGCTGGGAATTAATAGAGATAATTAATTAAATAATTTAGGTAAAAGTGAGCTTTCTTTGTCAGCATAAATGACTTGGGTGGTTTCATTCCAATAATTTCCTCTAAGATTTTGGGATATTATTAAAAAGAAAAAAACTAACTTCCTCTGCTTAGTGGAATTCAGAATCCCTGGGCTGTATTAAACTAAGGACCCATATTTCAGTTTTATTTAAAATTCCTAATTATGATGTTTAAAAATCCCATCTGTAACATACCACTCTATAAAAATTCCCATTTGGTTTAATGGCACGTGGTGTTATCCTAAAATTTAGCAGCAACTTGGACGTGATGATGGATCCTAAACCAAAAGGATGCCGAGGAGTTATCCTGAAAAAAAAAATCCATCTTCTTTTAAAACCAAAGGAAAATTGAAGTGAACAAGAACAATCACTAGACAAAGACAAAATTCCACGCTGAGCAAACAAAACTCAGCAGTTTCCTGGTGGATTTTTTGTCCCCGTGGAGGCAGGTTTGGAAGGGGATATTTCGAGATGTATTAGAATTAAACCGGAATCACATCCATGCCTATAAATCCTGGTGTGATTGAAGTTCTTTATTCCTGTGTTTTCTTTGGGATGTTCTTTGTGTTTTCAGGGTGTCTCTCGGGCCTCCCCCAGCCCAAGAAGGTCTCCACGTCCTACGAGGAGCGGCGCAAGCAGGCCACGGCCATCGTCCTGCTGGGGGTCATCGGGGCCGA